TGATCATTATTATGCCTAAGACGTATGAACAATTCTGAAGGAATACAAAATAAACCACTACTGTTAAGCAGTACCAGCACATTCAGTACCAACAGGTATAGTCAGCCTCAAGAGAGTCATTTGTTTGGCTTCTGAACGCACCATCTGTTTACATTTTTCTGCATGGTTAAGAACTTTTAAAAATTTTGATCTAGAGATTCATAGTAACCAGCTATTGGTGAAACTCTAAATTAGGCAATTTATTAATTCTAAACAATTTTAGAAGACTGTGCTGCCAAGTCACAACCAACTCCTGGTAACCCCAACCACAAGGTGTGCAAGATAAGAGAGGAGAAGAAATGGTTTGCCATTGTTTTCTTCCACAAAGCAACCACAGGCTTCCTTGGTAGTCTCCCATTAAAGTACTGACCATGGCCAACCTTGCTCAGCTCCCAAGCTCTGATGAACTCAGGTTAAATTTTTATTTATTTATTTATATTTCAATTTGTATCCCGCTCACCCCCTAAGGGCTCTGAGCGGCTTACATGTTCCAATTCATACAATCCTAAACCTAGGGCCACATACATGTAGGGGACGTGACAAGCCTACCAGGCACCCTTTCTGTGTAGCGGATCTTCGTTGTTACTGCCTTGCGGGAGGTAGTCCGACGGCATCCACTCCAGCGCTGGTCTTTGAGGTTCTTCCTTCCGGCTGTTGCGAATTCATTTCCGGGCCTGGACCACTCGCACTTCCGCGCATGCTCGCGGCCTCCGTCCAAGTAGGCTCCGGCCTGCGTCGCTCCGCCTCCGTGCTTGTTGGTCCGGCCTCCTTCATTCGCTTTTCGCCTCACCAGCCGCCGCCATTTCCGCCGCCGTTCACCGTTTCGCCGCCGCTACACAAGGGACGGGTGCCCCCCCTGCTCTATTAGCAGGTACACATTTATCTAGTCGCCCTTTAACGGGCTTTCGAGCCGCTGGGTGGCTAATTGGGCTGCTGGACTCAACCTTTGTTGGGCTGCTCATATGCAACTTAGATACAATTAAGGTTGCATTCAAGCATGACAAACAAACCACTGTTTGTAATGAAAGTAAGCTGGAACATTTTTGGGCTTCCACAGTCCCTCCTTACTCTGCATTCTGTGCTAATTCAAGTGATGAGGCATTCCATTACCCTGCATACTATGCTGTCAACAGGATCCTTGGTGCTGTTAGGCTGACTATGTGCCTCTTGGGCCCGTGTCCATCATGGCTGGTGAAAGCCAGTGACACTGGAATATGGCCCCCCATGGACATTATCAATCTGTCCCTTAGTATGGGGGTCTACCTGGGGGGATTAAAAGAGGCCGTGGTAACACCACTCTTAAAGAAGTCATCTTTGGATGCATTCGATCCGTCAATTACTGCCTGGTTTCGAATCTTTCTTTCCTGGGCAAGGTGACTGAGAGGTAGCCGAGGAGCTCCAGGGTTCCTTGGAGGACACATCACCCTTAGATCCATTCTAGAATGGCTTCCGCCCTGACCATGGGATTGAGACAGTGCTGGTCGACCTCACAGACAATCTTTGCAGGCATCTGGACTGAGGTGGGTTGGCACTGCTGTTGGATCTAACAGCAGCGTTCAACCCATTCGACCACAACTTGTTGGCCCACTGCCTTGCTGACGTAGGAGTTCGTGGAGTAGCCTTGAAATGTCTCACTTCATTTCTCCAGGGTTGGGGACAGAGAGTAGCACTTGGAGAGAGGGTCTCACCCTGACACCCTTTGGTGTGTGGGGTCCCTCAAGGGGCCACACTCTCTCCTATGTTCTTTAACATCTATATGGGCCCTCTCACCCAGCTGTTGCTCTGTCTAATTTAGCTGCGGGAGGTGGGAGGGAGACTGTGGCTGGATGTTGCTGTAGATTTTCTGGGATGTGCGGCCGTGGTCTTGGCATTGTAGAACCTGATGTTTCGCCAGTAACAGTGACTGGCATCCTCAGAGGTATAAACACAGAAAGATGGAATACTCTCTGTGTTAAGGTGAGAAGAAAATGGTAGGCAGTAAATTTATATCTACTCCAGAAGGTGGTTAGGGCTGAGTCATTGTCTTGTAGGAGTTCCCCAGGATATGGACATGCTAATGGAGGAGCTTTCCTGAGGAGGTTCTTTTGTTTCCTGAGGAGGTTTCCTGCTTCCTGAGGAGATTGTTGAAATTCTAATCTTATCTGTAGTGCTATTGTCTGATGTAAAGACTTTTGTGTTTTTCAGGACAGAAAAACAATGTCCTATTTATTTTTAAATTCTTTTCTTTCCTGTTGAAATTATGTTTATGTTTGTGAATTTCAATGGCTTCCCTGTGTAATCTGACATGGTAATTGAAAGTGTTATCTACCCTTTCAGTGTCTTGGAACAAAATACTGTGTCCTGTTTGAGTTAGGCTATGTTCAGTCACTGCTGATTTTTTTTTTTTTTAGCCAAACTAAAATTAGAGCTAGTCCAGAAAATTGGCATGGAATTAAAATTAGCTACACCTGAGTGATTTGAGCAGCTACAACACTGAGAAGTTACACTCTGCAGTCTACATAGGGTTGCCAGGTCCTCTTCTCTCACTGGCAGGGGGTGGGAGGGAGCTCTCTGGGAGTGGGGGGTGGGGCAATGTCGCCACACACTACGGTTCCAGCATGATGATGTCACATGGAAGTGATGTAATCACGCCAGGGATGCTCTGTGGCAACTCTGATATTTTTGCCCAAAATACCAGAGTGTTGCCACACAGTATCCCTGGTGTGATGATGTCACTTCTGCATGATGTCATCATATCAGAGATGTTGCGATGGGTGGTGGCTGTTGGGGGTGGCGCTTCCCCTCGCCCACCAGTTGGCTGGCAGCAGGCAGGAGCTCACCAAATCAGGGGATCCCCTGCTCCCACCTGGGGGTAGCAACCCTAAGTCTATAGAACATAGCTGAGAAAGAAGTGAAATATATTGCTCCCACAGAAATATTTTGTTTAACTAATCTAATTATTACTGTTCAAGGACATTAACATTAGGAATCTGTAGTCTGCGAGTTGGAACCAAAATACCATGAGTGGAGCAAAGCAAGGAGAACTGGACTTTCCTCCCTGTCTCCTCCCACTATAGTACACTAAACCCTCTAAAATTCACAGGGGACCTTCACAAACTGCAAAGAGGGTGAACTTGGGTCTGCAGTGGGAACCAGAAGTTGGCAAAATTCATCCCTCCTCCACCAACAGAGGCGGTATTCCACTGGAATGTGTTGTTATGTTGGGAGAAGAGCACTTCTGAATGTAAACATTTGTCCTTTATATATTTATTTTCACCCATGCGCCCACTTTTACAGTTTGTCTCTCTCTTACAAAAATTTTGTGGAAAACGATTCACAGATGGCATTTGACACCCTTGAGGTTGTCAAAGACCTACAAAGCTGGAATCAGCTGGTTCTGTGAAGAAAGTAACAGACTTTTTTCACATGTGGTGGCGGGTATGTATCCAGGTCTCCAGCTACCGGAAACAAATTACAAAATTGGTATCTAGCGTGTTAAGAATTCTCATCCCCTATGAACCAGATATTGCTGCTTAATTATTTCTCAGATATCCCTAAAGATCTGCAAATAGTTGCCTTACATACACTGTGGCAAGGTTGGTTTTTGCCCAGCAATGGGTACACAAAAAGACTCCCATGGTAAAAGACTGGGTTTTAGAAACAAAAGGGCTACACACTTTAGTGAGATTAACAGCCTATCAGAAAAGTAGGGATATATCTGAAGTAGACCAGGTATGGTCAAGGGCAATACAAATCATAGAACTAGGTATAGTCCATAAAATTAGTACCAGTACAGCATGCTAGTAAGTATGTTGTGGCCAGGGCTATTTTTGGGCAGGAACACACAGGAACGGAGTTCCGGCTGGCTCCCAAGTTGGCCACACCCAGCAGGAACTCATTAGCATAATAGGCCACACCCAACAGCAGAAACTCATTAGGATTGGCTACATTAGGGGTGTGTGGCCTAACATGCAAAGGAGTTCCTGCTACAAAAAAGCCCTGGGTTTTGACAACAAACAAGGTAAACAGAATAAGAAGCAAAAGGTGGGTGTGGCTGGATAACCACACTTCTGGTAACATGTGGGTGCGGCCTAATGTGCTAATGAGCTGTGCTGTCAGGGGTGTGGCCCAATATGCTAATGAGTTCCTGCTGTTGGGTGTGGCCTATTATGCTAATGAGTTCCTGCTGGGCTTTTTCTACAAAAAGAGCCCTAGTTGTGGCTACAGTTCAGACTGTAAGAGGGAAAGGGTCAGTGCTGTATTTTGTGTGTGTGTATGCATATATATATTTTCCTCACTGTGGTGTACTCCTCCACATGAAGCCAGCTGGGTGACCTTGGGACAGTCATAGTTCTCTCAGAGCTCTCTCAGCCCCACCTATCTCACAGGGCATCTGCTGTGGGAAGAGGAAGGCAAGATGGTTGTAAGCCGCTTTGAGACTCCTTCTGGTAGAGAAAAGCAGGGAATAAAAACCAACTCCTCTTTTTCTATTAATAATTGTCTTATTATTATATGTAACTTTCTGTATGCCTTTTGTTTTAATAAAATATGTATTTTTAAATAAAATAAAAATAACAGGGACGGGTGCTCTTGCTATTCATTCTATTGATATAAACATTGGATTGTATAGTTGGTTATGAAAATTACTGATACCCCAATCCTAAATATACGTGCAGCCATAATTCTCTGACTTGTCAGCATAATAGATATGTATTATTCCTAGGCCCTTCCACACAGCAATAGTGGTTTCATAGTTTAAGAACACTTCTATAGACATAATAAGCTTTTAGGTCCAATTGCAACTATTTGGGTTACAAACTTCATACAGTCAGAGGTTCTATACATTCAGAAAACATTCAGGGAATATTACAGAATATCACATTTAAATATTTTTGTAATGCAATAAGCAATAGGTCAGGCTTTTTTCCTTCTTAGCAATGGATTGATAACTTCTATACAACCGGTATTTAAGATAATCTTACCTGCCATTTTTCTCTATTGCAAATATGATTCCTTTCTTCTGAAAAGGAAGTAGCTTCTCTTTTAGTTTTCCAGGTAGGAAAGACAGTTCTTCATCAACAGCAAAATTTAAACAAGGTGTTCTGTATGTAGGAGTCTCTTGGATGACAGTTGCCATGTTCAGTCTAAAAAAAAATAGGAAGCAATGCATTATTTCAGTGTTTAACACTCAATATTCCACAGTGTTTTCATGATAATAAATTACATTTTGAAATTAATGTTAATGCCAGCAAATGCCCTAAAACAGAAGTTAGTACAATTTTTTTTTCTTGATTACTAGTATTAACAATACAATAACAATACTTTGTGATTGTCAATGGACCACAAAACTAACCCTTGGCTTCTTGTAGCCCAACTGTTCATAGATTGTATACCCTCTATGTCTTTCTCCAACTTCTTATAGTCAAGGAATGTTTTTAAAACAAACACCCTCCCTCAATTCTAAGCATAACAACCACTGATCCTTAGAGAGCTCTAGCCCCAACCTGTTCCCGCATCAGTTACTGATTTGGGCATACCTCCCAATCACCAAAATGGAATCCCAGAGCAGTGGAGACAGTGGACATTCTTGACGGGTTCCTTTTTCTATTTTGAATCCATTTGTCAAACATTTTGATTAAACATTTTGCATGTTGTTTAGTGTAGATGTTCTGTATCCAATTCAAAATATCTGGAACCACGCCTGAAATATTGCAACGTTTTTCTGTTGAAAAGCCCAAGATAAAAGTCATATAATCAGAGATAGCTTATTTAAAATTTGAGAAATGCCATGAAAGAGAATCAGCCCTACAATTCCACTAATAATGTCACCAATAGATGCTTATTACGGCAATTACACAAGGAGAAACAATGATTTTATAACTTATGGCAATATGATAAACCCACATGGTGGCATCAAGACGTGGCAAAAGATTAAAGAAGGAGGAAAGGAGATACAATGGTGGGTATAGTTTCAAATTGCTTCCAGTTTAAGAAATGATATCTGTACTAAGAGAGGAGTTATTAATAAACTGACTGATTTTGAAAAGATTGTGAGACAATCTAAAGACCATTTATTAGGACAAATGTACAAGTTATTGCTTCAATATGATTCTGAAGGAGAACAGGCCAAACCCTGCATGATTAAAGGGATGCAAAATTTTGGTGATGAAATAGTTTCAGTGTTGGGAAAACCTATGGACTAAAGGTATTAGATTTACTGCTAGCCAAACATTAAGAGAAAACTGGTACAAGATGTTCTACCAATAGTACATTACCCCAAAAGATATTGCAAAGATGAACAAGAATTACAAAGGGGCTTGCTGGAAATGTAAAGTAGATGGCACCTTTTATCATATGTGGTGGACTCACATCAAGTCGCAAAGATACTGGAAAAATATACACGAAGAGATTCAAAATATTTTAAAAACCAAATTCCAGATGAAACTAGAGATTATGTTACTGGGAATCCTACCAGATAATATCGACAGAATCTCATAAGACCTACAGAGATATATGTTGACAGCTGCCATAGTAATATTTGCAGTGAAATAAAAGACAGAAGACTGTCCTACAATAGAGATCTGGAAAGAAAAGCTAATTGAGTATGCAACACTGGCAAAACTAATTATATAAACAAAAGACAACTCAAAGAATTTCAGCAAAAGTGGCAAGTTTATTACTCATATTACAGGAATAGTTAACTTTTTTTAGTTTTAGAATTATCTGAACATCATATTAACGGTGATAAAGATATTGATTATTGTTTCAATATTTTATTCTGTATTCCACAAGTATTTAAATAATTAGTAAGAATAAAATTTAGATACAGACAAACAATTAAGACAATATTTAGGTGTTTACAATGATTTTATTATTTTTACAATGCTTTTACAGTGATTTAATTTTAGTATAGAAGTTTGTTTAACTGTTAAAAATGTAATCCCTTTTATTGTTAACAGATTATCGCTAACTTTAGGAAAGTTCTTGTTTATTCTTTAAAGAGAGAATTTATCCCAAAATTCTGTAATACTGATGTTTTATTCTCTGCTTCTATATTTGAAATATGTAATACATTTGGTAATACATCTGATTGTACTTGTTGTATGCAATAACTCATAAATACTTGACAAACTTGATGAATCTATATTTTCCCCTACCCATTCTTCCCCTTTGCATCCCACTTTTTTTTTGAGAAAATAATTTTAAAAATTAATTCTAAAAAATTCCTGTGACATTAAAAGGGGTGGGAGATCCCAGAGCAACATGTAATCATGATGCATAGGCTCTTCTGAGGGGAGGTAATTCTGCAGCATATCTGCACAATTCAGTCACTCACACCAGTTCCTGTTGACGGCTGACAAGAGGCCAGAACAGTAAACCATACAGAGATTCAGCAGGCAGCTTCTCTGTACATGGGGGCTTTTGCCTCATATCGGCCTTCGTTCGTTAACACGAAGACACTCCAATAGCTCTTGCACAACCCACAAACTGGAAGTTGCTGCTTTACATATTACAAGGTACTGAAGTATTGGGGAAAGTAGAAAAGGCTCTAGATAAGTGAGTGCATTCCATAACACACTATAAAATGACAGGAATAGGAATATCAGATGCTAAAAGATCCAAACTGATTAATAGTGAATGAACAGAGTCTATTACCAACATTTTAATGCACCACCACCAGGAATAAGGTGCTGTTTTAGTTTTTTAACTTGTTTGTTTTGCTGAAACAGCTTACCATTTTTAGATTAAGAAACGCCACTTTCATCATTTACATCAAATTTGTAAGGCAGACAGTGCTCTCGCCCTGTTAGATTAGTGTTCTGGGAAAACAGTTCTTCAGTTATCAATTCTGCTTATTAACTGGTACTCCGCAGACCTGACTTTAAACAGATGGCAGAATCAAGAGATGCTCATATCTTGTTCATAGTAGCAGCAGGCTGTAATTAGTTGTTTACAAAAGGGTAACTGATCTAAACCAAGGCAACGGAAATAACCAATTTAAGTATAACTTTCCAATTTCTGTACTTCCTGAACACGCCTGTATACTAATTGGTTTCAATGTATTTGGTGAAGTGTGCTCTGACTCATGAAAGCTTATGATGGAATAAATGTCGTTGGTCTTTAAAGATGCTACTGGACTTCTCCATTAAACATGGGTCTAGAACTAAATAGGGCATCTATACTACCCCAGAGCATATTTTAAAACCTCTGGTCAAACACAGACTCTTGGCATTTGCAATACAAAGTGTATATCTGTTCAGAGATTGGAGGAAGATTGTGAAATTAATTATTTCTGTTTTACTTTTTCTTTATACATGTGATGGCACTAAGCAAGATCAGTTACTTGAAGACTAAAATGCCCACAACTATATAAAAGTAATGACTGGAAATTAACAGGTGAAGCAGTGTTTCTGAAGGAGATGGAAATTAAATGTGCATGCATTCTGGTTGGCAAAGTTTAAATATTCATAATTTGCAAAATAAAACATATTGCAACTGTATTGTGCAAATAATGCCTAAACTGAAGAGCCAGATATTTTTGTCCCAGTTTGTTAAAACAGGCTATAATTACATGTTTTGAAAGAGGGACACAGATTTTGTCTTAAAAGATTACACATAGTTATCTATATATGTGCATCAAGTTCATATTTCATTTTAATCCAGTTATACTAAATATCCCTTAAGATAATTTTCCTCACACTGTTTCAAAGCACTACAAGATTACGACAGAGACCAACTACATCATTTAGGATCCATATTCCTTTCCTTAAGCGAATTGACGCCTTTTAAATTACAAGAGGAGTCTGTTCTGTATGCATAGTGACAGCAATCTATATATCTGTTTTTGAAGTATGAGCAGATCTGCAGATATCTAAATCCAAAGATTGGGCCCACGCTGGGAAAAAAGTGATTTTTCTGCATACACAGGGGACCTCCCAGGTTTGTAAAAAATCTGAAAACTGTAAAAAAAAAAACACCAAATCAGATGGGGGATTTAAATCCCAACCCAAAAAGAGTGGCGAAGTAAGTTGAGGAGCTACAGAGCCATGAGCATTGCAATGATGTTGGGGGGAAGCGGGCTGGCAGCTAGAAGGCTGCTAGCCACAGTGGGCCTGGCAGCCGTGGAAGGCCACCTGGCTTCAGCACAGGCCTGTAGCTACAGTGGGGCATTTTGGGGCTTCCTGCCAAGGCTCCACGACTTCCTTTCAGCCGAGGCCCCCCCCCCCGCAAGATGCAGTGGTGGTGCTCAACACGAACTCTCCCTGTGCCGCCACCACTTCTCCTTGCCTTCCCCCTATGCCGCAACTTTCTCTGGGCCAGTCCCCAATCAAGAGGCGACCTTGGCCACACTCCCTGCCTCCATGACTTGGGCTTAGCCGCCAGGGAGGCAGAGAGCAGCCGGCCCAGGCTGGTAACTTCATTGCTGCTTCCTGGCTGCGGCAGGCTCATAAAAGGAGCACTGTCCCGACTGGGCCGCATGACTCCATCCCAACTTCTCTCTCTCTGCAGCTTCAAGCCCCCAGGCCGCTCCCCGGCTTCCGAGTCACACGGCTCAACTCTGAAATGATCCCCCCCTTGCCTGCCTCTCCACTGACTTTGGCACCTCCTCTTCATTGGAACATGGCCTTCTTGCCCCATGGCGCCACCTGTCCTGGCCATGCTGCAGGAAGTAGGGGCAGAGAAACACAGGGCCAGCTGGAGCGCAGTAATGGAAACTGAGTTAATTGAATTATATTTAATTGAATTACCCAGTGCCTCCTGAGGAATTAAAATGCCCCCTGGGTTAAACATTCCTGGCTTCAGCAGCAGCAGCTCAGTGATCTTGGGGAAGGAGATGGGCTGGCTTGTTAGCCAAATTGCCTTGAATTATTAACTAGTCTAGGGGAAGTTATGATTATTAATTGGCAATAGGCAAATTAGGGTTCACACCAATGTATACAGAAGACCCACCTTTGCTGCAAGTATCAGAACAGACACTGAGACTGTATTCAGTCAAATATATTGTCTTTTTACTGGGGAATACATATCATTCAAACAATACACAACCACTGCATCTTCATGAATACATGTCTTCCAACACCTGTCTCAAGTGTTGTTTTTTTTAAAAAAAACACTACTACATATGGAAATTCTAGGCCACTTTGGACATATCAACCAGTGCTCACGGACTGGAATTCTGTGAATGCCTAGAACAGAAACAATGGAGTAGATCCTACCACTCCACTAAGCTTTCCTCTAGTCTAGGGAGCATTTGTCCAACTTCAGTGTCTCCTCCATTGGAGAAACAGCTTCATGGAGAATAGTTGGATCCATCCCACTATATGGGGGACTAGTATTCCCTCTAAGCTGAGTTAATGTGAGCTAGCTCACAGTTTTTTAGCCTCTGGCTCACACATCTTTTACTTAGCTCAGGAAGGATGGCTCCAGAGCAAACTAATTTATGCACCCGCTAAATTGCTCACTCACAACTTTATTGCCAGTAGCTCACAAAGTAGAATTTTTGCTCACAAGACTCCACGTCTTAGAAAGAACACTGATGGGGACATCAACATTTCTGAGACGGATTGACAATGCTCCCTCTAAAATGTGGAGTCTTTTGCTGCTAGGCCAATGGGGCTCTTCAGGACTCCAATCCACTGCAGGCCACCTGGCCAGCGGGGAAAGCCCCACTCCTGAAGAGGCCTGTTGCATGTCGATACAATAACATCACACAGAAGTGATATCATGCTCTAGCATTTTGGCCAAAAACTCTATGGTAACCATAGAGTTTCGGCCAAAATCCTAGAGAGTCTACATGTGACGCCCTGGCCTGATGGCGTCACTTTCTTGTGACATCATCATGCTGATGTCACGTGCAGCAATATCGCCCCACACTCCCAGATGAGCTCTTTCCTCCCTACCCTGTAGTGGGCAGATGAACAGTAGCTAGGGTTGCCAACCCCCAGATGGACACGGAGATCTCCTGGAATTACAACTGACTGCCAGACTACAGAGATCAGTTCCCCTGGAGAAAATGGCTGCTTTGGAGGGTGGACTCTATAGCTCAATGCGAAATCTTCTGGAATTTCCCAACTGAGAACTGGCACCCTCAGTTACTCAGACCTTCAAACATTGGGCAAAAACAAACAACCAGTTATTTTACATGAGAGAAAATAAGCCTCTCCTGCAACACAACATGCAACAGAAAAATCTAAATCATCCCACTCAAATACTTGAGAATATATAGTAATTTTGTATAGAATTACAGCAGAGCTGCAAGGTTAATCAGTAGATTAACCATAATTAATCACTATTAATTAAGGGAGCAACACCGAGCAGGCACCACAAAACTCTTTTTAATTATTTTTTCTGCTCCCTCAACCTAACATGCTAACTCCACTACAATGCTGTGTCTGTTGATCCATATTAAGAGACTTCAAATCATGTTCAATTCAATCCTAAAAACACTTTCCCAGGGGTAAGTACACAGCAGGACTGCCACCATTGGCATGGGAAATTCCTGGAGATTTGGGGGTCGTTCCTGAGGCGGGAGCTCAGCAAAGATACAACCCCACAAGTCCGTGAGTGCCCTCCAAAACTGCTATCTTCTCCAGGGGAACTGATCTCCTGGATATAGCACGGAGACCAGCTGTAATTCCAGGTGTGCTCGAAGACCCGCGTTAAGTAGACCCGCGTAGTGCGCTACTGTAAGAGCCACATCCATTTCAATGTATCTAAAGAAGTGTGCGTGCACACGAAAGTACCTTGGATAAACCTCTGTTGGTTTTAAAGATACCACCTGGACGCGAATTTCGTTCTGCCGCTTCAGACCAACAGGGCTCCTCCTCCCCACATGAATCTATCCTAAATACAGTCACACCTTTCCAAGCCCACAAAAATCAGTGGGGTTCCAGAGACACAACCAGCCTGGTTAGGACTGGGCACTGCAAGTCTCTACATTGCAATCACACTCTACCCGGTCGCCGATTGAGACCCCGCTGGCTGCAGACTAGCACAAACAAACAACTGAACACACCACTCCGCCGCAGTCACCTCAGCAGCGGCGCCTCCTTCAACTGCCGTGGCGGAGGCCACCACTACCACGCTTTTCGCGCTCACCGCTCCGGAAGTGACCTCCAAATTAGGAGCAGGGGGCTGATATAGTCCCTTACAAATGACGGTTCACATTTTAAAAAAATAAATAAACATGGTGGGGCTTCTACGCGTTTAAATGCATTTCTCTGCTTCCTCCGACCCCCAGTGTTTTGCTTCTTCTTCTTCAGTAATTCTTCTCCCAGCTGGCGGGAATCACGCCTCCCGGTGTCTCAGACAAAAGCAGCGGGGACAACATCCGTCCCACACACCCTCTTGCCCTGTAGACCCAAGGGCAGCCATTCGCGCCCTCTCGCATCGAAATGTGGCTACCTGCGGCTCAACCGCAGTCAGCCAAC